TTTCCAGTGTCGATAGCTCTCCATGTCTGTGATGTCGGCTCCCTTCGCATTCCTGAAATGATTGAATTCGGTCGGTAGTAGAATATGAACGTGTTTTGGAAATTTTGGGAGCATCTAGGCGCATGGCGTGCTTCAAGGCTTGACATTAGGCCCATATATTGAACAAAACACCAGATCCTATACATCCGCCACTCTCCCTTCCTTCACCCATTATCTTTATGCAGCATGTTTTTTTACTTGGTTAGGGAATTCCCCACCCCTCTCCAGGTAATGATTTGTAGTACCTGATGACGAAATTCGAAGATTGATTCCAGCATCCTAAGATATTATTTTGTTGTTTGAGGGACCATATTGGTGCAGAATGTTCCTGTTTGGCTAAATGAATCCAGTTTGCCCCAAGCTCAACGTTGAATCCAGAAAAATTATGCTATCAAAATGARAATGTTCACATCTTTTTATTTTTTACACTGTTCCTACAATCTTGGACAAAAATGTTGAGAAATTTTTAGTTTTAATGAATGTTTTCATGTCCAACATTTAAAAATCCCACCCCCTCCCCCCCTAAACAATGTTGTTTCTATGGAGACAGGACTGCTCTACCTAATGGGACCAACACTGTCCTGGGGCGGGGAGGGGGTACGATCAAGGGCACTAGGACACCGAATATGGTTGGATTTCTATATGTTTTTTCCCCTTTCGATTATTTGAATTAAATTAACGTTATATACTTGTTTACTTATCTTGTGTCCGTGTTCCTTCGTTGTCTTCGTTCGCTGTTGTAGTGCAGACGTTTTCATTCCAAAGGTCAAACGGTTTGACCTTCCTAATAACAGATGTATATTACACCGTCATTTCCTACTTCTTACTGGGTATATATTTAAAATTGTACTCTAGAACGGGGCAGGGATTTTTTGTTCTATATTTCTAATCTTCAAATCTAATTTAGCCTTGACTGTGTAGCCTAGGTTTACATAAGAKATTTGTCGCCGGCATGTGGAGGTACTTTAATAGTTAACTTTTACAACCATCCCTCTTTCACTAGAAGGGAATAAAAGTGTAATGACCAAAGTGTTATACAATAAAGGCAATAAAGTGTTACACGTCAAAAACACAGAAGCACAATGTGTAATGCGAAGATCTGTCTTGAATTGTAGCTGACGGGTTTTTGAAAACTGCGCCTCTAAATATCTAGTCACCACCCACTCTTTCAGATAGCGATACAGTTCAAATATGATGGATCTTAAAGGTTCTCAAAAAGTCCTGACTCGTCCACACTAGTCCGGGCGAATCCGGAACAATTCTTCGCCGACAATGAATTTTTTCGAATACGGTCTCCAGAGTGGAACAATTTGAAAACGCCGGCTAGCCAAATTAGTGTGGACGGAGAACATTTCGTATCCGAAATTTTTCGAATACGATTACGTCATGGGAAGGCTAAAAATTCACCGCAGGCTCAATTTCAGCTTCGATGCACATGCTCAGATGTGCAATGAAGCGTTTTTGCCGCCTCTGATCGGACTAGTGTGGACGCGAAACATTTTATCCGTTTTCATGTGTGGACGGAAAACTTTTTTTCGGTTTCGGTGTGAAAGTTGCGGATTCAAATTTATCCGGCATAGTGTGGACGGGGCTTAAGCAAAAAAAGAAAAAACAAAAAAAGACTCGACAGCCCAAGAAGGGCTCGAGGCCAAAGAAGGGCATACAAAAATATGCCAAAAGGCAATGGAAAGGTCAATAATTTGTTGACCAATGTCGAGCAAAAAATTTCAAAGAAAAACTAGAAGAAGCTGAGCAAAAAAGGAGATTAAAGTTATCGTTAATTCATCTGTGTYTGTGTTTATATTTTAGTCAGCGAAGCGTGCAGCATATTCGCGCGTGCCAGATCATTAGCATATCATATATTACTCACCCAACTCATAAGCATAAGATATCACGTTATGTGAAAACGTTCCATTTGCTTTAAATTCTCTTATTATTGGAAGTATTTTTCGACTAAGATGTCGTAAGATTACCTTTATTTTACCTCACATGAAAAAAGATTAAATAGACAAGGTAAAAAGGAAATCATTTAATTTTGGTCCACTGATGAATTCAAATTTACGATAGTATATAGTGACGAAACTCTTTCTATCTCATTGTAGGTCATTGTAGCTCATTGTAGCTCATTGTAGATCATTGTAGCTCATTGTAGGTAAATGTAGGTCATTGTAGGTCATTGTAGCTTATTGCACCTCATTGTAGCTCATTGAGCCTTTTAGTAAGTACGTGACAAAACTCGATAAATACCTGTTTTATCCTGCCTCCAATATAGTCCTGTCCTTCGAGGATCAGAAAGTCATCGACTCCATTGTCCATCAATGTTTTACCCGCAACTATCCCAGAGAGACCAGCACCAAGAATTAGGACTTTCTTGTGTGGTTGTCTTTTGTAAACACATGCCATGCTATAACTAGTTAATTTTTT